TGGAGTGATGTCACTGTATTTATACCAACACATGTAACAGTATCATAGTTATATAGATGTTACACGCACATCACTAACACACAATACATAATTGAGTTTTAAATACACCTAATAATAGCACAAGATTCCATAATGTTGCCAGCTGGCAACAACTAGTTACAAAAGTATAAATAGCACAAATAATCTTGTGTAATTCATGTGCTACAATATAAATTGTATGTGTATGCAATTAATATGTCTTGTTAATTAACAGTAATACTACGGCAGTTGTTAAAGTTCTTTTTGGCTCTTGACTTTAACCGACCCTGAATCAATGATCACAGTTATAATATAGGAATAATTTTATTTATAACTATACTTACTTATATAAGCTGCAACAGCTTTTTCTCCAGTGTTATCAACAGCATCAGCTAATTCGCCCCATGTTGCTTCAATGTCCTCTGTCAACCATAATGTCAGACATTTTAGAAGGCATCTTTCACTGTCCCTGGCATTATCATCACTAATTGTTTCTAACTTTGGATTCAGCAGGTCCAAGGATAATCCAAGCTGAAACCACTTGTTACTAGGAAAGTACCCATCGTTCAATACATCTAATACTTCTCGCAAGTTGCTAATTGTCAAGATATCTGAAGGAAGAGTAAAAATAATATTTTAATGCATGCATATGCAACTACTTAGTAAATGTCCATGCAAAGTAGTCACTTTAAAGATAAAACTTACTTGCTTTATTTGCTGTAGTTGAGTTATTATTAGCTAAGACAGTGAATAAAAATCTAAGAAGCATCAATAAAATAATCAAAGAAATGAGACCAACTCCAAACTGAATGAGATCTGTATACAAAAAAGAAAAGAAATGTTTTGCAACTGCAAGGTATTTACATTTTATATACGAGAACTTGTCTTGAAACCACATCGATTCTCTTTGAGTTAGGGAACGAGTACTTCTAGCCTTTTCGCAAAAAACATAATCAGAGCAGGTTTGCTTCTCAGCTTTAACTTTAATGTAATGAACCTCATTGGAACTGGAAGCCTTGCACTCACAGACATAGCGAACATCTCTTGATGATGATTGAGCAATATGATGTCCATGGTAACCATAAAGGGTGTCTTCTACTTTTTCACAACAATTCTTTAGCAGTTTTAATATTTCTTGACAAACTGCTTTGAAAGAAACTGGATGACTACTCTCAGGTACATATCGATACGCATCAACTTGAATAGCTTTATTAATATCAGTGAGAACAAAATCATCAGAAGGATGGCCAAAAGAGAAGCAGACACGATTGCGATAGATACTTTTTGTTTCAACTTCAGAGTGTGCTAAATTGAGCTCAACATTATCATTAGTAGCTACAGTGGTTGCTAAACGAGTGAAGAAGCCAGGAGGTACATACCCAGTGGAGAATGTAATGTGTACAGGTGAGGCTCTTAGCTCATAACCAGGTCGTACTTCATTAGGATTACCTGTGTATCCTTGTAGCACTGCTGGAAGAAAATATTGCTTGGATGTGCTATCATAATGCTCAGTTTGAACTTGAACTGCAAGACGAAAATGAACTAAAAGTTCAATTATTTCTTCTGGATCAATACCACTTGACTGCCATACTTCTTGATAGAGAGGTTGAACAAGAATACCATTATTTCGCAACAAATACCATTTTTTCCCTATGTTCCATCCTTCTAATGTGAACACCTTCCCAATGGTATCAACAAACCATTTTGGATTGAGAATGACTTTATTCCTCAGACCTTCTATTTGAGGATAGTAAAGAAGAGCTCCCAGCTCATGGTAGAATTTCAATACTTCAGGAACATCAGCTGCTGGTATATGACATGCCACTCCAATGGCAATGGCATCAGATAGACTAATGACATTAGGCTTTTCTAGCTCTTGAAGTATGTTGCGAAACAGAACCCAATTGACAGGGGTTGAAAGAACTAACTTATTAATGAAACCATCAATAGCTTCACGTAATTCTGTAATGCTTGGATCTTCACTTTTCCCCTTTCCTGAAGTTGTATTATCAATGATTAGCACATCTTTAATAAGATCTGAGAATTCTTTTTCCTGATAAAGGAACTGCATTTGCTTTTTTACTTCTTTCTTGCTTTCTTCCTCTAGCTTGTCACCACGAGTGCCAATACAATAGAGACTAGGAGAAGAAAGATCATCTTTGTTGTGCTTTACGAGGTGACTGTGTATTGTAGACATCCATTTGGCCATTAGATCACTGGTGCTTTCATTCACTACCTCACCAAACAGCACTTTACCATCAGGAGTATTTTGACGTGATTGCCATCTTTCCCTGATATCCTTTGAAGCATCAAACAGGAGGAGAAACATTGTACGAGGAGTGAGGAAGGCTGGGAGAATCTCAAGGAACACTGGCTGACCACCACAATCCCATATATGAAGAAATGGCTAAAATTGATGTAATTATGTAACAGTATAATTATACATGTATGACTCACTTGGATAAGTAATTCTGTTGTCTGATAAAATGATCTAACTCTTTCAAGTAATGATTGGATACGACTCTCCACATTCAAATCAGAAGCTATTGAACTAGTAGAAACTAATTCATCATGAGAATATTTTGCACTCAATACAGATGCATGGTGTGAGGATGGTCTAGAATCACTGGATTCAAGCAAATGTGCAAGTTCTTCAATTTCATCTTCTTCTGTGGCTTCTCTCCATTTCTTTCCTTTTCTTGTTTGCCACTTGTGTCCAAATGGTCGTACAAAGGATACATCAGATACAATGGTGCTTGTAGTATGAGGATTGAAAGGTTCTTCCATTAATGAACGCTTGAGAGATGTCTTGCCAGTACCAGCTGATCCCAGTAACATAAGACGAGCATACGCTACATCAACACTTCCTTGTTCTTTGAGAGCTTTCTCATAAGTGCCTAAGTATATAATAAATATCAATGGGTACTCACAATACAAATGCAAAGTGAATCCTCCACAGAGTTTACATATGTATACTAAGTGATTATTTTTGACTCACTTATATCCTATAAATGTGAAGCAAAAATTTATTACATGAAAAAACTTGATTCCAAACATACCTTTGGTTGAATAACAACATTTAAGCATAAAAGAAAAGAATAAAATTACACATTTACACGTGACCTGACTTACTGTCTGAAAGATTGAGAATAACACAGTTTAGTAAAGTATCACAATGGTATCATAGAAGAAAAGAATAAAATTACACATTCACATGTGATGTGACTTACGAGCTGGAAGATTGTGAAGAACACAGTTTAGTAAAGTATCACAATGGTATCATAGAAGAAAGAATAAAATTATACATTCACATGTGATGTGACTTACATTCTGAAAGATTGTGAATAACACAGTTTAGTAAAGTATCACAATGGTATCATAGAAGAAAAGAATAAAATTACACATTCACATGTGATGTGACTTACATATACTTCCTGAAAGATTGTGAATAACACAGTTTAGTAAAGTATCACAATGGTATTATAGAAGAAAAGAATAAAATTACACATTCACATGTGATGTGACTTACGAGCTGGAAGATTGTGAAGAACACAGTTTAGTAAAGTATCACAATGGTATCATAGAAGAAAGAATAAAATTATACATTCACATGTGATGTGACTTACATTCTGAAAGATTGTGAATAACACAGTTTAGTAAAGTATCACAATGGTATCATAGAAGAAAGAATAAAATTACACATTCACATATGATGTGACTTACTTCCTGAAAGATTGGGAATAACACAGTTTAGTAAAGTATCACAATGGTATCATAGAAGAAAAGAATAAAATTACACATTCACATGTGATGTGACTTACTTCCTGAAAGATTGTGAATAACACAGTTTAGTAAAGTATCACAATGGTATTATAGAAGAAAAGAATAAAATTACACATTCACATGTGACGTGACTTACGTCCTGAAAGATTGTGAATAACACAGTTTAGTAAAGTATCACAATGGTATTATAGAAGAAAAGAATAAAATTACACATTCACATGTGATGTGACTTACGAGCTGGAAGATTGTGAAGAACACAGTTTAGTAAAGTGTCACAATGGTATCATAGAAGAAAAGAATAAAATTACACATTCACATGTGATGTGACTTACGAGCTGGAAGATGGTGAATAACACAGTTTAGTAAAGTATCACAATGATATCATAGAAGAAAAGAATAAAATTACACATTCACATATGATGTGACTTACTTCCTGAAAGATTGGGAATAACACAGTTTAGTAAAGTATCACAATGGTATCATAGAACAAAAGAATAAAATTACACATTCACATGTGATGTGACTTACTTCCTGAAAGATTGTGAATAACACAGTTTAGTAAAGTATCACAATGGTATTATAGAAGAAAAGAATAAAATTACACATTCACATGTGACGTGACTTACGTCCTGAAAGATTGTGAATAACACAGTTTAGTAAAGTATCACTATGGTATTATAGAAGAAAAGAATAAAATTACACATTCACATGTGACGTGACTTACTTTCTGAAAGATTGTGAATAACACAGTTTAGTAAAGTATCACAATGGTATCATAGAAGAAAAGAATAAAATTACACATTCACATGTGATGTGACTTACATATACTTTCTGAAAGATTGTGAATAACACAGTTTAGTAAAGTATCACAATGGTATTATAGAAGAAAAGAATAAAATTACACATTCACATGTGATGTGACTTACGAGCTGAAAGATTGTGAAGAACACAGTTTAGTAAAGTATCACAATGGTATCATAGAAGAAAGAATGAAATTATACATTCACATGTGATGTGACTTACTTTCTGAAAGATTGTGAATAACACAGTTTAGTAAAGTATCACAATGGTATCATAGAAGAAAGAATAAAATTATACATTCACATGTGATGTGACTTACTTTCTGAAAGATTGTGAATAACACAGTTTAGTAAAGTATCACAATGGTATCATAGAAGAAAGAATAAAATTACACATTCACATGTGATGCCACTTACATTCTGAAAGATTATGAATAACACAGTTTAGTAAAGTATCACAATGGTATCATAGAAGAAAAGAATAAAATTATACATTCACATGTGATGTGACTTACCAACTGAAAGATTGTGAATAACACAGTTTAGCAAAGTACCACAATAGTATCATTGAAGAAAAGAATAAAATTACACATTCACATGTAACGTTACTTACTACCTAAAAGATTGTGAATAACACAGTTTAGTAAAGTATCACAATGGTATCATAAAAGAAACTAATAAAATTATACATTCACATGTGATGTGACTTACCAACTGAAAGATTGTGAATAACACAGTTTAGAACAGTATCACAATGGTATTATAAAAAAGAATGAAATTTTATATTCACATGTGATGTGACTTACTTCCTGAAAGGTTGTGAATAACACAGTTTAGTAAAGTATCACAATGGTATCATAGAAGAAAAGAATAAAATTACACATTCACATGTGACGTGACTTACGTCCTGAAAGATTGTGAATAACACAGTTTAGTAAAGTATCACAATGGTATCATAGAACAAAAGAATAAAATTACACATTCACATGTGACATGACTTACTGAGTCGGACATCTTATGAGAGTTTTATGACCCTGTGATACAATGAGAATAATGAAACTGGAAAATAGTCTTATCATTCTATTGATTGCAAGTTGCATGCATGTGCTGAGCAATATGTTGATGCAGTTTTGATGGAATATGATTTTTGATCATAAATTAGTTGCACAAATCTATAGTGATAAAGTTAGTCTTATGGTATGTGTGGTATCTACCCAGAGGAGGTTGAGCAAAGTTACTGAATTAACATCAAGTGACTCTTATTGGCCTTAATTTTAGTTTTCCATAATGCTACTTATGCATTTTTGATCTCATTGCTGTCAATGTAAGTGTGGTTGCAACTAAAGAGTACAAAATATTAAATTAGCTGAACTTTCTATTAAGCCATCTCCTGTGAGATCTCCCAGCATTGGTGAAAAACAAAGAACATGACTCGCTAAGGTAACTCCAATTTAACACGCACATAATTCATATTAATAGCCTAATGAAAATGCCACACCCTCCTGCATCAATCCCACACAC